ACACACACACACACACACACACACACACACACACACACACACACACACACACAAAACATTACTTCAATGTCATTTCATTTTAATTGTATTGCAAAGTGATAATATACATGTATGCATGCATTCTAACCAAGTCCTTACAAAGCTCCATAAGTTTGGGGATTCATCTTGTGGTTAACTTATTCTTTAAAACAAGTTGCTGTGTCGTCATAATTCTCTCTGTAATAAATCTGTAATCCTGCTGCCAAGAGGTATCACAGAAAATGTATTATCCACTAGCTAAAATCCTGTGTAACCTTGAAAATTGTAGATTTTCACTTTTGATAAACTGAAAATAATCTTACAGAGAACTTTCATTTTAGGAGAAAGGAAATATACCAAACCTAAACATAGGCATTTGTTGGCTGTGGTTGTGGTCATTTAAATTTTCGTCTTTCTGTGTTAATAGTTTTATTCTAGAACTACAATAACAGGCACGGTCCCACAGCAGCTAGATATCTGTTAGCACAGTTAGCTTACCGGCTTCACTGTTCGGCACTTTTCTTCCTGATACAAAGTCCTCCATCTCCCAGACTGCAGCCAGGTCGCAGTTTCTTGTTCTCCAGCAACGTCAAATGCAGAGAAAACTCAGATTTTGAGTGCTAATCACCCCGGTTACATATTACTACATGACTGGTGGAGGTGTGCTGAACTGAAGCCAACGCAGACATGCACAATTGATCTGCATATGGATCCTTCTTCCTGTTTGGTGACCAATAGTAGAGGAGTAGGACCACGAGACAGCCCTCCTCATTTGCATACATGCATGTGGTAAAACAAAGCAAAGGGGGGAGATGGTAAAACAAAACAGGAGACAAGACGAGGAAATGTAAAAAGAACAAACACTTGTATAAAGAAAAGGCAAAACAGAATGTATACATTTCTTGATGAAAACGCATATCTACGATAAGGAAAAAAAAAATTTACATTTCTTGATAATGCATGTGTAAGGAAACAGAAATACAAAATATATACATTTCTTAAAGGGATCAATGACTATTTGTAACATTAGACTATTTGATTAACATATATTTTAACTGTAAAATAAAGACTAAGAATACTGTAGGCTGTTAAGTAAATTTTAAAAAATATATTTTCAATCGGACGGAGCTCTTTTATTTACACACAAAACATTCTGGGTAAATGCTGACATCGACAAGGTTACCATGCGAGGCTGCCAGTGTTATACAAAGTACCACAAAGTGATACTTGAGTAAAAGTACAAGTATCTTACCAAAAGTTACTTTGGTAAAAGTTAAAGTCTCCTTTAGGAATATTACTCAGTGTTGTATAAAGTACCACAAAGT